TTTTCATGCTTTCTTCTTCTGTTCCTCCAACTGTGACTCCTGCCTAACTTCATGACACTTCACATGTCGGAGTCATTTCGACAATGCCCGTTTCCTCATTTTCACTTTGTCATATGTCTGTCCCTTGGCTCGACTTCAACCTGACTCCCAAAAAGGCAATCGAACATGTTTGACAATTTGAAAAGGCAACCAAATATCTTGAAGGTCGCGAGTGAGCCGCAACTGCACGACAGCAAGTTTGGCAGCGGCCCAGACAGGCTGGGAAAACTAGAAGACCGTGTTTCTCGAGAGAACTTGAGAACAAATAAGTTCCTTCCTCTGTATGGTTCTCTGAAACAATGGGGAACTCTCAGCAAAGAAAATAATTGTCAAAACCTCGCACGGGACTGCTTTGAGGGTTTCGGGCCTTTCACCTGCGTTTCTGTTTTGCGATTGTTTCCACGTCTGCACTTCTTGCATTCTTTCAAACTTTTAGTCTTCATCTGTATTTGAGTGATGGTAGACTGCTGTCATTGCGTGCTCTCCCTGCAAATTTTTATCGTTTTGCCCATCCCGTGTCCAATGTTGCATCAACTTCCTTGTTAAGTCTTTCTTGATCCTCAATGCTCGAAACTGGTTGGTGATGCGTTGAATGAGGTTCCCGAAATTTTGCCACTTGACAAAGTTGAGTCATTGTTGATTCGGGCTGTGATATTTTGTTGTTGTTGCTTTCGAATTAAGCGGCCGACCGCGCTTTGAGTCGATTCCCAAAAATATGAATCCACATTAAGCCCCAAATGATCCATACCTCCATGACAAAAGCTGGACTTTGTGCGAATTTTTGTTTGTTGAATGCTTATTTTTTTAGCAAGAAGCTCCACAGGAAAGTGGCATGACACTTAAAAAAAAAAAAAAAATACTAATTACAACAGTAAACGCAGTAACTTCGGAAAAGGACAATAAGTATAACTGTGATGATGTGTCCGGTTATAGACATTTTTTGACTAAACAAGACGTAGCACTTTGGGTTTTCTGCAGCAAGTCAAAGGCAGATCCAGCCATCATTAAAACTACCGGCAATCAATGCAAAGTGGATATTTCAGCACAGTTGTGGTTTCAAGAGTGCATGGCGGGAAGAATTTGATGTCATTATTTCCTGGTACGCAATTCCAACATGTCCAATCCGACTTTGGAACGAAACTCCATTTGTACCGCCGGTGTCATTTCTACAAACAGGTGACGGATTATCCGAAATGCAGTTATAATAACCCAAGTGTCAGTCATATTTATCAAACGCCGCCGAGCTGTGAATAAAGTCAGCAGGCCGGAAGAGATGAACAACATTTCAATGACGGCGTCAATCTCCTGTTGTTGACTGATAGCGTCGCGATTTGCGCCGCACGGCAATATTCTTTTGAGACTGATGAGAGCGTAATCTAAATGAATGCAATCAATTCTCCGCGTGTAACCGAGAGAAAGAAGCGAGAGAGCGAGACAGAGAGAAGAAGCCTGGGGCTTCCACAGGAAGCGAGTCAATTATCGGACACATTATTAAGGAAGACATACTTATTATGGCGGAGAGACGGGATGTGCGGAGAATGCCGCAAGCTGATAAACAGCTGGAGGAGACCACTCTCGTTCTCTTTATCCCGTCTCATTCATTCCGAGTTTCTTCCTATCGCCTCCGCGTACGCGAGCACATCCACGCGCTTGGACAATATTGCCGTTGCAGCACAATTGCATTCTATTACAGCCCAATTTCACTCGAGAAGAATACACGGAACGGAAAAAAATAGCCTCGTGTCCGCTGCGGAGCACGCGGCCATTTAAATGACATGCGCGCTGGATTAGAACAGAACGTACAGATGATGGTCTGTCATTGTTCTCTGGGGCTCCCCTACAAAGCATTAAAACAAGTCGGGATGTCTCAAGAACGATTTTTCAATCAAGTCCGCCGTTTTGCGCGAAAGAATGTAATCAGTTTTTGGGGGTTTTTTTTTTTTGGATAGATGGAGACACTTGGGCATGCACTGGTTGATCTGAGAGCTTTGAAAGCTGACACAAACTTCAACTGGAAAGTAAATTTGTCATTCAAAAATAGCTTTCTTCTGCAATTCTTATCCTTTAAAGTACAACTCAACTCAACAAAGCGAGCAAAACGGACTCTGCCTTGCAGTCACCTGATATTCTCTTGCACAGAAACGATCCTTCAAACTTCTCGTTTCTCGCTTTAGTTCTGACCATGTGCACCATGCGCTTGTGGCTTCTTCAGTCCAAGAATTTTTTACAGTGCATTGAAGCTAGTTCTATGATGTGAATTCTATTATTTGATATGGCTGCGATTAGCTTTCTTTGCTGATGAGACGCTGGGTCCGTTTTGGACACTCACGTCTTACCAAATCTGGTTCATTACGTGCAAAATCAATCAATAAAAGACTATTAAAAAAAAAAACAGACGTGTGAGGTGACCATCATCACCAACTTTTGAAACCCCACCGCTACTCAATACGCATAAGTCACTTTGACAGATAGATGATGTGATGCTTCGTTAATTAAAAAAGAAAAAAAAAAAAAGAATATCTTTCATGCTCTCCCATGAGCCTGTAAGAGGACGAGCAGAAAGAGAAAATGGATGGATGGGTTTTTATTAGATATCATGACCATTAAAGACACACTAATGTTATCATGCATCATAAATTTTTTTTTTTTTTTTTTTTTACACACCGCTTGTCCTAACACCCTGGCTAACTTCAGGCGAGAGGCAAGCTATGCACCCTGAACTGGTCGTCAGCCGTTTACAGTGCAGATAAGAGAGCAACCATTCACACCAAAGGAGAGTCTTGAATGAAGCTATGCAGATTTTCGAAACGTGGAAATAAACTCATGCAGTGCACACACAAAAAAAAAAAAAAAAAAGAGGAAATAAGAAAACCTTATGCTTGTCATGAACACAAATAAAAGACGCAGCAGGCGTGATGCGTCTGGGAGACAAGAGGCTCCGAGATTCTATCTTTTGTTTTGTTTTTTTTCACTCAACCAATGTGACCTTGTGGAAAGAAAAAATAAACCTCCACCTACAGGAATCAAATCCACACCTCAGCGTAAATAAATCTACGCCAGCAGTTTTGGAGCCAACTCAGACTTTTGAAAGCTTTCCTACTTTGAAATGTGCAAATGCACCACGTATGTAAGATAAGACCCCCCCCCGGTGTCTTAGCGTGAAGGCGACCTGACCTGTAATTTGAGATCGTTCACGTTTGTAACCTGAAGCCGTTTTTCATGGCTGCACATTTTCTGCGCATTCGGCCTTAGAAAGTCATTGGAAATGTCAAACGTGGCCGAGGAGAGTGGAGCAAGGGAAGAATAAAAAAAAATAAAATAAAATAAAAACACCCTTGGGTCGCATGCACATCAACTTAAAGACCGAAAGGAAAAAAGATGGCTCAGTGGATTTTCATCATATCGTGATTCATTTCTATCCTTCTTTCTTGACTTTTAACATTCCCGAGTACATCATCTTTTCCTTTGCTCTCCATCATTTCAGTCTTTTTACACCACACAGATCAATGGATTTGGATCCGGACTATCTTTAGCCTTCCCCACCTTTTCCTGCCCTTTTTCTTTTTTGCTCCCTCGGCGCTGTGAGTTATTGCTCCAATGTGGATACATTGAAACACATTATTGGATTACAGTGTGATTGAATGGACAGCTTCGTCTCCAGAGACGGGATACGTCTGATGAGTTTCATTTATATTTTTGGCCAGGAGGGTTCCACTTGTTAAACCTTTTTAACAAACCATTTTTATGCCTTTTTTTTTACCTTTTCTTTCTCTTCCTCTCTCTCGTCTTTCGCGCTCATCCCTTTCCTGCCTTTCACCATTTCTTCTCCTCTCTTCCTTCATCCACCTCTCTCCTCCTCCTGTTCAACATCACACAATGTCCTCCTATCCCAACCCAGCGCTCCCTCCCTCCACTCCTTCCATCCCCCTTTATCTCTCCCTCCCTCTCCTCTTTTTTTCCCCTTCATCTCACCTCCAGCCAGCCTCCTCCTCCTCTTCCTCCTCCGAGAGCGCACAGCATCCACTTTCTCGTTCTACCTCTCTTCAGCGGTCTCACGGTCTCTTTCTCCCGCTCTCCGTCCTCCACTTTGGCTCGCCCCATCGGCAGCTTTGCAGGCTCGCTGCTCTCCCTTCCAACTGCCGAGGACTCGGAGGCGCTCGGGACTAAGTCTCTGTCGTTGCAGGTAAGTGTGACTGTTGATCGTGGAGTGGTTTTTGGGGGCAGGCGGGCTGAACAAAAGAGAGAAAGAAAAAGTCCAGGAACGGGCGAAAGATACGGTGAATGAGATTGGCGTGGCTCTGGCAAAGTAGAGAAGAGTGTTGAAAAAGATTTCAAAGACGAGCAGTGTACACAATAGGAATGGCGATGAGGTGATGAATTCGCCATAAAGTCCAAATTAAAGTATGTCACCACTAATGGGAGTCAAAAGCAATTCAACAAGTCACTTCATAAAATAATTAGGACACCAAAATCAAATAGACGGCCCGTAGCAAAACATATACACTACAACATAGAATTACAAGATCATGATTCCAATTGACATTCTTCAAACTGAGCCCAAAATCCCATTCACAAACCGGAGCTGAAAACTGGCGATGGTGATTGGTGCTCTGAAAGCTGTGAGTCACTCTGTGTGTGTGTGTGTGTGTGTGTGTCAGAGAGGGGAAATCTATTACATTCCTTAACGAGTGCCGATGAGTCTTCAGAGAACATTTTTTTTTGTACACTACTTATGCATTACATGACCTGCGGTGCACATTGGGTTGATGATGATGATGATGATGATGATGATAAATAATGAGCTAGTGGCACATTTTGGTCAATATAACAATGTATGTGATGATTTGGCATCAGATATACGCTTTTTGCCTCCTCAAATCTTTCTCACGAGTTGCATCTGTCAATGTTGCGCTACATTGTCGTATTCGTCAGCCAGTCCTCACACCAAAACTGCCCTTCAGGCTGAACAGCTGTGTCCTGAAGGGCAAAGAGACTTAAGATATGTTCTCAGGTGGATTATAATGACTAACCAGAGAGAGGATGAGAGTGATGCACAGGCTTTGGTTGAAAGTCGCAATAGATTTAGCAATGGAAAAAAATGTGTGGATTTACAGTGAAGTTATTTCTAATGCTTTGTGGTGCAAAAATTGCGATTAAAAAAACAAACAAACATGAATTGATTTCACCCCTGTGCTTCCATCAATTCCTCTAAAATAGCATTTTACCACCTACGCCACAACTTAGACCTGCTTTATTATGATCCAAGAAGTTATATCATGTAATTGATTATTTAAATTACTATATTTAATATGGGAAGTTTGGAATTTCAAACAAATCAGTGCATCTTGGTTTATGGAACATTTAATATGCAGTTAGTAAATATGCGACTTTTCATAAGAATGATTGGATAGTTCTGATAATCATATACCACATCAAAGCAGCTGTTGCTCATGTCCGAAGAGATCCCAACACATCACTGCCTCACCCATAACCATCCCCGCACTATTTTTGCCTACCCCGCCCTCAACCCCATCCTTCCTTGCCTGATCAACGTCTGTGAAACTAAAGCTTATCGCCATTTCCCCATTAGATAGCAGTCAGGTGGAATAGATGCGAACATATCCACACTTGATTTCCTGGGGAATTCTATAATTTAACAAGCTCCGTGGAGTGTGAAATGTCACGTGTGATATAAGGCTCCTGGAGGTTCGGTGGGGGCTGACTTGGTGACAGGAAGACATGAAGAGGGACAGAATGTGGAACAGTGCCGTGCAGGTGCGACCGCCGCTGTTCTCGCTGTCTCTGGGGTGTTGAGACCAAAGTCGACTTGAAATTTGACCTGTGTCAGCGGTCCAGGTGTTTAGGTTTCCACCGAAGTTATTTTGACTATATGTGCCGGGCCTGATCCAATTAAAGGCTCTGACTGACAGCAGAGAGCTGACAGGGGGGCGTGTTGCCGGATTGTGATTTGACATTGGACCTGTCACATGTTTGCCCCTGACATCACTTTTCTATTTCATACGTGATTACATTGCAGGACCATGTTGTGAATGGACGCTGGGCCGAGGGCAAACGCAATGACAATGCAAATTGGGAAGAATGCGCTGAGATGAGGACTTGATTTTGACGCCCGCGATGCTCTCGTGCTAATTCATTCAACTTTATGCGCGACGCTAGCTACACGTTAATATGTTCATATCACCAGGATCCATCATTAAAATAAGCCAATACAAGGGTGCATCTTTGCTAGCTTCCTGCTAGCAAAGATGTCAGCGTGTCATCGTGTGATGCAAAGAAGTTCCAGCACAATTTCAACAGCCTTAAAAAGACAAGCAACATGATGATCAGCACCTCTCTCAGTGGGATCCCGTGTAATCGACTACGCTGCAGCAACCTCCGTCATAAACATTGTTTCATCAATTCCTATTTCGCAGTACCAATTAAAAGTGAGTACAAATCTTCATCGGAGTACTTCCCTTTTGAAATTATTATTAGTAGTAGTATTTTTTTGCAGTTAATGAAACATTCCTCAGTACCGAGTAGATTTGCCACGAAAGTCAGCAGTCATGGAAGTGAATTAATGAGGTGAGCGGTCCCTGAGCAGAAATGTGACATGGCATTTTTCTCTCGTATAACAACCTGATCTTTCCTCATTGCATTCGCTTTGACTTGTGAGCATATTTGTGAGCCATTTTGGCTGAATAATTAAAACAGCGTTCGCAACCACGGAACGGAGGTCGCCCCGTGAGAATTTGCATTTGCGCTGATTTTGGCATGAAAAGTGCAATTAACCTCGCGTTGGGGGCACTCGTTAAAGGACGTTAATTAAAACGAGATGATAAGAGAATAAAAGTGGGAGACAATTTTTTTTTTTTTTTTTTTTGCTGAGGCGACAGAGACCGAATTTGGCAGATGCCGCTGTCTTATAATTGCATTCGGGGGCTTTGCTCTCGCTTTTTGGGGTGAACAGCTGGTCACAAACAGAAATGGACAGTCACGATAAACTGCCCATCTCCAACTGTGACACAACTGGCAGACACGGGATCATTTTACACTCAAACCGGCCTCAGCATTGACATTTTGCTCTAGGTGGTCTTTGCCAAGGTCGAAGACGGCTATTGTCTATGGCAGACGGCACGTGGAAACGCTTCGACAGGCTCGCTGATATGCAGCTTCATCAGTGAAACAAAAAAATGTGCCTGACATGACCTGTTTGGGCCTTGTAAGTGTGTGTGTGTGTGTGTGTGTGTGTGTGTGTGTGTGTGTGTGTGTGTGTGTGTGTGTGTGTGTGTTGGAACAACAAGTCATTGTCAGCCGCAAATGAGGAATTATGAGCGGGATGCAATGACATATCTAGAAATATCTGCCGCTGCTGTTTGGCCAATGTTTTGGAAAAATCATGTGATGGGGGAGGCCGAATGTTTTCAGCTGGACTTGTCAAGTGATATGGATTGGAATGTGAGGTCTCAGGTGGTCTTACCAAATTGCACCAGCTGCATTGTTTCATTTCTTTGCCTTACAGGTGCAATATATATCCAGCAGATGGCGCTATTTTTTAATTCTAAATTGGGCATTTCATATTGAACAGGGAGTGGAGTCGGTGCCTAGTTTGCCAATTAAAATGACACGTGACAGTTTTGTTCTTTGCTCAACAGCAGTAATTGCCAACCACTGACACAAGAGCTCATCAGGCTTGCCGAGGCGAATTATCTAATTTCAATTGGCTTGACAATTATTTACTCCAAATATTTGACTGTCTTTGCTCAATTATCTATGCCAGTGACGTATAGTGACAAGCAGAACGATTAAATGGCCTTTCATTGGATGGCACATAATGAACCCAAGGATCAATTTTTTGGTGACATTTTTTGATTAGTGGTGCGCAGTGAGACTTTTCCCCATGTAAAGTAAAAAAAAAAGTGCCATGGCTCAATAAAAATGTCGCAAAAATGGTCCATAGGTTCATACTGAGTCGTGACAAGCAGCAACTAGCCTCGCACCGTGTGATGTGACATGAAAAGGAAATCCATGAGGTCAATACTACGTCTGTTCGCTACTGTCTGCTTGCTAACCAATCTATCACAATTGTATTCTTGCGAGTCCATCTTTTTTTTGCAGTGTCACATGTCAACAAAAACATAAAGAAACTTCCGACGGTATCCAAACCAACCACTTTCTGTCCTTGAGGCAGTACTTGCGTTTCGGCGATTCTGGAAGCGGCTTCCAAAAAAACGGCAGCGACAAAGGGTCCAAAAGTTGTTGCTAACTTTAGAGTGTCACCTAAAGGTTAGCCGAGCACAAAGAGACTCAACTGGTTTCTAATTAGAAAAGCCACGACCTCTTAAATGAGATCATTAGCAAAGCCATGGTCAGGTGGGAACGGTGTGCGAGTGAAAATGGATTGAGACTTTTCTTAATTTAGAGCCTGCTCCCTTTTTTTTTTAAAGGAAAGAAAAATTAAAGAAGATGACGACGTGACCTATTTTGTTAAGGCCACTCGAATCCATCACTTGGGGAAAGAGTCATTTTATTTTTAGAGTTACATTATGTTTTCATGCTAAAAAGCATCAATCAGAGGTTAAGCGGTTAGTTGGCCACTAAATACAAATCGGCATTGGCAGGTCTGACTCTGCATATTCTTTCACTGCAGGTGATATAAAAGCATAATTAGCAGACGATTATAAATAGTATTCAACTTTAAAAGGGGTCATTAAAAAATAAACCGGTACTTCGGGTCGTGCAATAAATGCATATGGCAACGGGGGAATAGCATCATATTAGGCAGCAATGCATTTCCCTTTACAATCTGGAAAGAGTAAGTACATCAAAGTCATAGGAATTGGCAAAAGGAAAGCGTGCGCCCTCCTCGCACTGAAAACTGTCAACTGTCAATCGCAACTGCATAATCATCATCAACCGACAGCGTGAATGACAGCAAATCGCAAGAGCGTAAACGTGGACCGAGCAATTCCCATCCGTCCTCCCGCCGGCTTCGTAATTTCGACCACATCCGGCCCCTCGTGCCCGCGCGGCGTCGTCCTTTCTCCGCTTTCATCTGACCTTCATTCCTGAACACTTCATTTTATTTAATCCATAATCCATACCGAATCAAGCGGCACCTCTCAGAATTGCCAGCTCATCGACTCGCCGCTGCTGATCAAAGCCTGGGAGAAAGTCCGCTCGTCAAAGATGAAAGTTAAACGGAAGTTTTCACCTGTCACATCCCTGGTCGGGAACCCAACACGATCAAAGTATCGCATTTTGCAATTGTTCTCCATACACACCACGTGCTCCAGAACGTGTACATAGGGCACGGTTGCATTTTTGTTAAGTATTGATGGGCGCAATAATAGCAACGTGCTAGTTGTGGTATGGAAGTGGGGGAAGGCCCCACTCAAGGCCCCTGATACCAAATCCCCGGCCGACACCGATACCGTTATACGGCTACTCTGAAGTGACTTTGTGCGTGTGTAGACGCACGCCTCTATTCACTGCTTACCCCCGAGCGTTAACTCGCTTCCGGTGTCTGCGTCTTTTGTAGCTCGATGAATGGGCACATATCTAAGTGAATGTGACTATGGTGTTCCTGACCCCCTTGCCGCCGCCCACTTTCCATCCTCTTTCCCTCGCTTTTGTAAGAAGGCGGCTCGCCGCCAGCAGGCCCCGGGCCAGTCCTGAGCGCCGGCGAGGCTCACACTGAACATGGGAGTGTGTCGTGTACTCCCACCCCAGTCGGAGTGCGTGTCTTTGCGTGAGAGCTTTGAAGAGTGCGCCGCCACGGCTCTAACTGCTTTGTGCTGCAAGGTCAGCGCTGGTAGACCAGGGGCGCGCGCGCGCTCATACATTTACGGACGCTGGCAGCGCTGCGGGAGACGGGTGCGGAGAGGGTGTCAACTGCTGCTGCTGACCAGGCAGCACTGGTGGGGTCAGAGATACGAGGCACTACGAGGGGGGGCTGGGGGGGGGGGGCTCTGCTCAGTCATGCGGCTACAGACGCACATGAGCAAACAGCATAGCACTATAAATGTTAATGGAGTAAAGTGTACATTGGAGTCACGGTAAGTAGACACTTGCGATCCGACTGCTTGTCTGCGTACATGCAGGCACTCGCAAACAATCATTCGTCAACGCATGCGGTACTTGTGCAATGGTGCACGAAATTGTCGGGATGAGAATGGCACACAATAGAGCGCTGAGGTCCAACGTGGTGGAACAGTTGTTAAAAGTTAAACGGCGCTGCGGGGTTCCATCGTGGATGTTTTTTTTTTTTTTTTAAAGTGAAAAAGTTGTGATGTGTTTCATGCCGGTTGATCTGCCTGTCTGAAAGTGAGCGAGTTTGTTTCCATCCATTGTTTGTTCTATTAACAACACAAAAGCCCCAAATCAATAAGGAAATACTCCATCAACATTTTAGCGAGATTACAGAAGAATTTCTATCCGCACACATTTCACACCTCCGTAAAACACGGAGCGGTGCACTTATTTCCTGTAAGTATCAAATGAATGACTATGACAATATTTACACAGTGCCCCCCAACTGTGTCTCTTATTGAATGCATGCTGTGCGATCCATCTGTGAGTATACATTAAGCTTTGAATTGAGGATGGGCTTCAATACTAAAAACCCCTCTTGGGGATTAAAGTGCAGACTTACCTCTGCCAAGGTGGTTCTGTAGGTCAGCATGGGTTGGTTTGTTTGAATGCAACTTCCTGCCTACAAAGTTTTTTTGACTTCTTCCTCCAATGATGCCAGCCTATTTGGATGAAAAGACACACATATATTAGTGAAAAAAAAAAGACATTTTTGTAATCGTTACTTGCTGAAAGGCTCTCTTGAGCTGGTTAAACAACGGGGCACGTTCCATGCCACGAGTAGCCTATATTTTGCTGTTCGCTATGTCTGTTGTTTACACAATTGACCTCAATGACTCCGTTTTCAAAAGCCTCTTAATGTCAAGAGTCCTAAACCTTCTAAACTGTGACTTTAACACCCCCCCCACCCACCCCCTTCCTTTCCTTTCCTCTCCTATTCAATACCTCGTCCCAGACGTGGTCCAGAATACAAAGTGTTTTTCTTTCTTTCTTTATTTGGGTAGGCGCTAATGCGGGAGGCCTGATGGGCGAATGTTGTCCGCCAAGTAGAAAGGGACGCCGTAATAAGGTGATGAAGCCGCTCCATTCACCAAAAGACAAGAGGACAAAGAAGCCGAAATATGTCGAGAAATGGAGAGTGCACGGCGGCATGGTGAATGAGACAATTGTGGAGAGGAAAAGACAAATGGAAAAAAAAAAAGGACAGATAAATCATGAAATAAATAAATAAATAAATGTTATTTTGCTTCATCTTCTTTTGAAAAGACTCACGGGGGGATTTAATTAGAACACGTGATGCCTTTTTTGCTAGAAACAACCGAGGTGGAAAGTAGCTGATTTGGACCCAAAAATAGAATAAATTAAATCAAACAATATTTACAATGACATAATACATAAAGAAAGAGAATTCTCAACGTCTACGCTGGCTTAACGTAAATGGTTAAACAAATACGGCACTCGATACAGACTTTGGGGGACATTTAAGTCAATTTGTCGAATTACCTGAATGTCGACTTCACGCGCATGACACCATTTAAATGGACATTTTTTGAGTGAGTTTTTTTTTTTTTCTCCACCAGCAAATATATTACCCCGCAAGCCTAACTGGACTCCATCACTGAGGGGAGGTGTGTGTGTGTGGGGGGGGGGATCAAACAAGGCCCTTGCATCACACTGGGAGGCAGAGAGGCATGACGAAGACTGCAGCATTTTCAAATGAGGGAGCGTGCACACACACTTAAACACACATTCTGCACTGCAGTTTAAAAGGATCATCCGGGCTTGGGATGGTCCATTTTTCTCTAACAAGCTCAAGTTATGGATGTTTTTAATCAGGAAAATTTGATTATCTTGCTTTTTCAATTTGTTTTAGAGAAATCAGTACACGAACCTCAAAGCTCCCCTTTCTAGTCAGCAAAATAGCAAAACAGCCACCACCTCCTCTTATTCTCATGTCTTGGTGGGAGTCACGGGAGGAAGCGGACAACATTCGTCCATTCAAAATCGTTGCGGGTTTATTGCTAGTAAGATTGAAAAACGGCGATCAATCGGCACCAAAATTGATGTGGCATTTGCTTTTACATGATCAGTCCCCAAGATATGAACACAATGCGTTCTGAGAGGCCTTTCGTAAGCTAAACTGTTCACAATATATATTAAATTTAAATCTATCAGGGTTAGCTTGACTTACTTTTTTTCCAAGCACACCACAGGCGGTACGCCCTCCACCGCTTATCCAGAAATGAGGTGACACGCTCGTCTGGAGGGTCGGCAATCATTTCTGGAAGTCAGGCGCACAGTGTTGTCCAAAGTCTGTCCATCCATTCATTTTCTGCCCGATTTTTCAAAGTCCAACTTTGACATTTTGCCAGGCTTACCTCTAGGGCAGGTCCCGCGGCCGCATATCCCAAATTGCTGCTCTTGAAACGGCCACTTGCACCGCGACGCAGAGCTGCTTTTCTAGGCGTACAGAATTATTGTTTGCCCCGCTACGGCGACATGAACAGTGCGCAATCGTAATGCGGCGGAGCGCTCCCTGAGAGTTTGTGTTGGTAATATTTTTACATACAGAACTATTATATGAGTGCCAGTGTTCAGCAAAATCAAGTGCCGGAGTAGGCAGGAGTCATGTGCAGCATTCTGGACCAACTGGAGATGCTTCATGGAGGATTGGCTGACTCCAAAGTAAAGTCAGTGCATGCCAGTAATCCAGCCGAGACGTGACGAAGGTATGAATTACTGTTTCAAAGTGCTCTTGAGGAAGGAGAGGCTTTACTTTAGTCAGCTGCCGAAGATGAAAGAAGCTGGATTTCACAACGGCACCAATTTGCCGGTCTAATTTACAATCGCTATCCAATTTACGACCCAAGTTTGAGACTGTTGGCATAATGCTCACTTTCTTCAGTTTTTAAGAGTTGTGATTTGAACACACTGACATGTCAACTTCAAAGTTGGCTTAGTTTGCTTATTTTCTTGACGAGGTTGAGAATTATTGCATTAAGATCGGATTGCCTAAAACCATCCCAAGCAGTCCATCCTCGCATGCCGAGTGAATTGTTTGCGCTGTGAGCTGCATCATGTGCACTGTAAGGGTGCATCCACGCGATATTTTTTAGCCTTATTGTTTGGGAGTATTTTGGCAGAGAACGGGCCTCGGGGCTGCCTTTGTCTTGCCAAGTGAAGAACTAAAACACAAGAAGCGGCCCGCCCGCTGATCGCGGGGAAGAGGTCAAAGTCAAGCGCATCATTTCGATGACAGCAATTCTGTTGATGCAGCAAAGTGCAAAGAACACTGCAGACGAGCGGGGACACCCTTTTGCAGTCATCACTTGCTGGGCTTGGCTCGGATCACATTCAACTGCACTTGCTCAGCGATGCTAGGTGGAAGCTAGCCTTGCACATTGATACAGCATTCCCCGCGCACAGCACATTCTAAACTTGGGTGTCCTTTTTGCTCACCAGTCGGCACCTTGTGTGCTGCGTAATGCGCCCAAAGTGATTTCAGAGGTCATCCAGAAGGTCATTGGTTATACAGTTAATGCATTCAAATGTAGTTTCCAAGGGTGCGCTACACTAATCACACAGGGTGCTTTCAAGTTTTTGAGCTTTTTTTTTTTTTTTTCTTAATGAAAAACTATGATCCCCTTCCAGTGGCAGCACAGTGCAGAGGATTCAAACCGTTTGTCGGGCTTTCCTGTTTCCTGTATGCCCGTTGGACATAAGCATGGGAAGACAATTGGTGAAGTGAATGCCATTCTCTTATTATAAACATTGTAAGCCTCATCAATTCTCGGGGCGGAATTAGGATGGCCTAACACCTTGAAAACAATTCATGCGGACGTCTGAGGAGCGCTTAATGTGAATGTAATCATTTGGAGGGAGACGGAAGAAGAGTGCGGGGAAGTGCAGCCAGCGAAGAAAAGTGATGGCTCCAAGTGCGAATTTGAATATCTGCGAGTGCGCCCACCGCAAATTTCAATGCCGGTAGCCAAGTGGACTTTATATGTCGTCTACTGCGCGAGACCTCGGATTCATTGCAGATGGATCACGCTACTGTCTGACAAAGTGGCCACAGATCAGCCTTGGCCCACCAAACATGACAGATTGTTTCCCTGGTAAGAGAGAGAACAAAAAAATAAAAAATAAAATAAAAAACGGAGTTGGTTGGAGGCTTAACTATATGTCTCTGTGTCCTCCTGCGGTCATCATTCAATACGCTGCTCCTGGGCTAGAAGAGGCTGTCTGCTTCTGCCAAATGATCCCTTTGGAGGGCGGAGGGGAGCCGCAATGAACAGAGGAAGATAAGAGAGGGTAGAAAAAAAAAAGAGAAAAAAAAAACACTGAATCAAGGATTTAGAGGCGAGAGGATGGGGGATCCAAAATGTGCCAGGGTGAGGGCATTGATGAGATCACACAAATGTGATTCGCGGACAATAAATGAGTGTGTGGGAAATGAATGGATGGAGAGCCGCGGATGGGGAAGACTGCGAGACAAAGAGCGAGGTGATTTTTTTTGGGGGGGAAGGGGTAGATGGATGCAGAGGCAGCGAGATAGATGAGGGTGTTAATTTGGGCGGCGAGGGGGAGCTTCAGCGGGACGGAGGCGAGCTCTGCCAACCAAATTGGGTGAAAAGGAATTACAAAGAGAAACAATTACAAACAACGGAGACGGGGCGAGAGGATGATGACGAACTGTGATTAAAAGAGGGACAAAACAAGGCCCTTACAATTCCAAACATCCTCACATACTGGACATCAATAAGTGTGATGAGACACCGCTTATCACCATAAACTGGGTTATGATTCCATTTTTTTTTTTATTTTTTAACCAAATGTAGATGAAGCTGTGTCAATTTAACGCGGAGGGCGTCTTGAGATGCAAAGACAACCTCGGCCATACAGACTGAGGTCCGATTTTGTCTCATCGCACCTGAACGGAGAGTGGCAAGCTGACAAAATGAAGAAGGAAAACTAAGAGAAATCAAGATATGCCTTTTTTATTTCTTGGCAAAGAAAAGAGGAAACATAGTTATCACCTTGACACAGGAAGAAGCGATGCAAGGGAGGTCGGGGGGGGGGCATAAAAAAAAAGAGAGAAGATGAGATGATGCGGAAGAAAGGAATGAAGGAGGACGAAACGAGAAAATGAATGAGGCAAAGGAAAAGAAGTGCTCGCACGAGAGCGCGCTTCCATCTGTCAGAAAGCAAATTGAAAATTCCTGCTCATATCGGAAAGGCAGCCCTCTGGCTTGTTTGTTGTTTGACCACAAACATGTTGTCTCTCCTGTCGCGTGGAAAAGTGTCCTTTTGGGAATTGAGCATTACTTCTATCTAAAATGAGCCACCAGAGCTGTGATGACAAAAAAAATGGACCGGAAGCCTGAATTGAATGCGAATCGCATACGGATCACCATATAGACTTAGCATGTTCTTCCGAGCAACTCTGGTTCCCGACCATATCCCCCCCAAAACGGGCTCATTTTCGACTCTGGATTGTTCATCAACCGGATCGGTTGTTTGTCAGATACGCTACGATGTGCTGACTGATGATGTAGTTGTTGATAGCAGGTTCCGCTCCTTAGGGAAGACTTTCAACATGACGTTGGAATGTGGAAGGGAAGTGGACGTTCATTGTTTTTAAATGGATTTATTTTTAAATTAGATATCATCCCATTCTCATTAGCATCAATCTATCTCTCCCGTCACTATTCTTCCCCGCTCACTTCGTCCTCTCCGCCATCACTTGCCTATTCCAATTTCCATCCATGTCTCTCTCTCTCTCTCTCTCGCGCCCCTCCCCGCCTCTTCCTTCTCTATGTCCATCAAATCACCTGCTTCAACCGTCACCTCCGATTCCACATCAGGACCTTTTCATGGCTACGCTCTCGCCAAAAACATCGACAAGCCTTGTGTGTGCTTCAGTCGCTCCCCCTTCAGTCCCCCCCCACCCACAAGTGCAAAATTCACAACATGCGTTTCATCTAGGAAGCAACGAATACATTTCCATGGTCATCCGCTTCTGTGCCTTTCTGTGACTTTTCCAGTCTCTCTGTAGCGACCCGGTGATGACACTCTGTGACATTCTAAGTTCAGTGGCCACATTTCTGTTTGAAGCCTCGCAATGGGACGTGATGTCAAAAATGTGACCGGCATGATTATACGGACCGTTTCAACACCAATCGAACTGAACCAGGAAACATTTTGCTCCGTTCGGTTGTCAAAGTCCAACTGTGAATTTTTGCCATGGAGTCACGTGTTCGAGAACAGAGCGTTGCGCAATTACGGTACCAGTGAATTAGCGCGGGTCGCGTGTACTGCCCATGCGTAAGTGCGCAGAGGGATGACCGGGTTAAAGCCTCAGCCCGGAGCCGACAGAGCCGCATTAACACGGCACACTTCTATCCAAACTAAGCCAAGCGTGAGAGCATGAAACAGAAAGCAATGAAGTGAAATTAAAAGCCAGCGGTGGTTAGATGCTTGCCTGAAAGGAGCCCTGACTACATCCTCGGCCTCTTCATGAAAACTAGCTGCAATGCTAGTTTTTACATGAATTTCTTTTTTTTTTTTTTTTTTTTGCACCCAGTATAGTATTTTACATACTTTAATAATGGAGTCAGTATGTTTCCACCCAGGGGGGTGCCATAACGGTGACTAGAAGTTCAACCATTATTGATTAACCATTATCCAACTAATTTTCTGACGGGTGTTACGGGCAGACCCCATCATTAAATCGTAATCAATTTACCTCTGTGCATTTTCTGCACTGCAAATTTGAAATCATGTGCTGTTTTGGAATCCGAGGCCTTCGGACTACAGAACAGAAAGCTGTTCTCCCAAAGATGCGTTTTCTGCAAGAGATCATGAATGATGCTACACTTTTTTTTTTTTTTTTTTAGTCTTGTCCCGAAAAACTATTCTAACGTCACCGCCACTTGTGAGCAAACGCAGTCGGATTCCAAGGCGGCTCCTTTCTTTCTTACTTCCACGTTTGCTTTGAGTTCATTTTAGCAGTCCGCACGGATGCACTGGAGGTCCCCTTGAGCCCTCGCTAACGCAATCACGGCCTGCCGCAGTCACAAGTGTGCACCTAATAAGAGCTAACAAGTCATGTCAGCGCGGGACATTAGCAGCAAGGGGAACGATGCGCGCCAAATTCAAGCGCATGAACCCGACTTGATGATAGCCGCCCTCGTGTCAAACAGCACCAACCGTCCCGATGTGACACACATTGGCACATTGCAAAAAAAAACAAAAAACGTCGCAGTCACATCAATGTAGATTTCTCCCAATTTAGCAGGACAGGCTTTATATTGCACGTTACATTGTACAAGTGCACCCGTCCAACACTTGGATGACAGAATCATGTCATGTATTGCCATAAACTCATCTCATCACAATAGATTGATCCAAATACAAAGTTTTGGAGGTTGGGGGTGGTGGGGGGGTGTCCAAGCTCAAAAGCACCCAAATCTTGCATGTGAAACCGATTTTAAAATGCCAGTCCATGTCTCTGATTAGTTATGCATTCCACAAGGTGCATCAGACTTCACTCAAGTGGTTCAGACCACAATGTTTTTTAAAAAGAGAACCTAAAAAAAAAAATGTTAACAATGAGGAAACAGAAAAACCAACAGTTACTTTTGCGCTGGGAAAAACATTACCTTCCAAAGCAAGTTTTCGTTTACA